AGCAAGAACTGAATTCAGCAAACACCCCGCACCTTCGTGCAGATGTGACGGCGGCCAGGTGGGCTGGGGTGGGGACCCGATATTAATGTGTGATCAGGTCCCCTGGGGACACAAAGCCACTGTTTGCTTTCTGGGGTGGACACTTCTCCCCAGTAGATACAATTTGTGGGCTCCCTGCAGTCCTTGCACACCTCAAGTGTGTTTTCACTTTGCCCGTTAATGGCCAACCTGGGTGCCCCTTTCCCTACATTAAACATGGATCTCCACCAGCAACCCCGCCTGGCGGGGGACCCTCAGAGCCTGCAGTCGCCCTGGTAAGGCCTCCTGTCAAGGGCAGTGCTTTTACAGCACCCACAACCATCCACGTCCTCAAACACACACCCATTTTCACGGACAGGGAACTGAAACAAAAGTGACAGAGCTGCCCACGGTTAGCTGGTAAACAGCAAGGACAGAACTTGAACTCTGCTCCACCAGGCTTTAAGTCCTCGTCTCACTGGGTGTGGGGATGAGGAGGGGAGTGGAAGAAAGGAGCAGGGAACCAGAGCTGGCTTCATGTTACCAGATTGATTTTGTTCTGAAGGCAATAGGGAGCTATGGCGGGGGCGGGGGCTGGATGTTAGATCCCTTGGTAGTGGAGGGAGGGCAGGGTAGAGGCCAGAGCGCCGAAAGGGGAGACAGAAGGGCTGACCCAGTTCGAAGGAACAGCATCGAGGACCATGGGTGCTGAAAGTGGACGAGAGGGAGGCTTGTCCCGGTGTTTGCTTTCTTTCACACCTCCCCATGCCCTAACACGGTTGAGTCCACACACCCCCAATAATACGACACAAGCCCCCTTTTCAGATACTCTTTGCCAGAGCTAGCTGGACCCCATAAGGCATGACTGACCTGAATTGTTTTTTTTTAAGGTTTTATTAATTTTTAGAGAAAGGGAAAGGGAGGGAGAAAGAGAAGGAGAGACAGATCCAAGTGTGAGAGATACATCCATCAGTTACCTCTCACACACCCCCACCCCAGCTGGGGACCTGGCCCACAACCCATGTGCCCTGACTGGTAATCAAATCCTTGACCTTTCAGTTCACAGGCTGGCACTCAATCCACTGAGCGGCACCTGCCAGGGCCCTAATTGTTTTTATGAGCCTTTACCCTCAGGACTAGAAAATTACTGGAAGCGCCCTGAAGGCACAGAGGCTCTGGGACTTATGAAACAGGACAAACCAGACCCCAGTGACTGGACCCTGCACCCACAGATAACGCTGAAACAACATGGAGACAAGCTGAAGCCTGTGCAAGACCAGCCAAAATGTCCTGTTCTGCAGCCGCCCCATCACCCAGTGCGAGCCCAACACCCCGGCCCTCGGGGCTGGGCTGGTGCACATCTGTGTACCCAGCCCTTCCCCTCTCTTGGGAAAGGGAAATAAAAACTTTGCTCTCTGCATTTTCTTCTCTTTGTGAATTCTTTCACAGCCCAAGTTGCCAATGACCCTAACACCCAATACCGTTCATCTCTCCCCCATGATTGTGTTGATGTTTTTCTTGATTTCATAATACACGGGATCTGTGGGGGGCTGTAGATTTTCATAACAAGCCTTCTAGAACAATCTGACTGTTTTTTTAAAAGATTTTATTTATTTATTTTTAGAGAGGGAAGGGAGGAAGAGAGAGAGAGAGAAACATCAATGTGCGGTTGCTGGGGGTCATGGCCTGCAACCTAGGCATGTACCCTGACTGGGAATTGAACCTGCGACACTTTGGTTCGCAGCCCGCGCTCAATCCACTGAGCTATGTCAGCCAGGGCCAATCTGACTCTTTAAACTTAATACTGTGTGATAAAATGTAGCAAGAAAAGCCACATTTTAAAAAATCAAAAGATGAATATGATTTATGATTACTACCCAGGAAACATTTCTATGATTTACTCTTGATGAAACAAATGGAATTTCAGAGCAATGTGAATAACTTTTTTTTAAAGAAAAAGAAAATCTTTACCTCTCTAAATTTTTTTCCATGCTGTGGGGCCTCTGAGTTGCTGAGGCAACCACGGGTTTAACCCACTCTTTGCAGGGTCCACTCCCATCTCAGGATCTGGAGAGAATAATGTGGACGGTGCGGAGAGGGGCAGTGACTAGCTGGGGGTTGCATAACTTTTCGTCGGAATTCGATACTGGTGGATGGAATGGTGTTGGGTGAGCTGCCTCCTGGGGAGCTGCTGGTTCAGGGGAACCCCAGATCCCAGCCCCAGTCTGAGACCTGAGACCTGGCTGCAAGGAGGACAGGTGTGCCTGGAGCCAGCAGAGCCTGAAGCTGACACGAGTGGTGGAGGAGGACATTGGGGCCTACCAATGGAAACTTACCTGCTTCCTGCCAATTCTTGTGTTTTCCTCAGTCTGGCTCCTTGACAACTCTCCTGCAGTATCAGAAGGAGCAAGAATGTGTGACCTCTGACTTGGCTTCAGCTGCAGATTCCAAGATCAGCAGGGTAGACTGAACAAGTCCATGGTCCTGGGGGTGTGCATGAGGGGAGCTGTGTGGCTGGCCCCTCCCCCCAGGAGGAGCGTGAGTCAACAAGGCTGGGGGATGGTGTGTAGAGGATGAGTGGAATAAGAAGGTGAGCAGGCTGCCCAGCATGCAGGGTGGGCCTGCAAAGTCACTTGGAGGAGGAGGAGTTCTGAGAAGAAAGGGGGAGGGGAGCTGCTGAGTCGAAATCACCTGGCTGAGCTCCTACAGAGTTCTGAGCACTGTGCAGACCCTCCCCCATCCCCTGGGGAATCAGCTCAGCTATGCGGCAAGGACAGTCAAGGAAAGGGTCAGGAGCCTGGGCACATGCAAAAATACTAAATAAAATATCAACACAATGAGTTCAGCTGTGCTTTAAAGGACACTATACCAGGGGCATGCAGGATTTATTCCAAGGAGGCAGGGAAAGTTTAGCATCAGAAAGCCTCCTTTACTCAATAAGATAAAAGGAGAAACATACCAAATGATTATCTCATTGTGCTGGAAAATATTGAATTACGTTCAGCAACCACTCGAGAATTTTAAGTTCTTAGTAAATAGGGAATAAGAAGAAATTAGTCTCATCAAAGATTGTGATTAAAAATAAACTATCTGCATTGTGTGGGATAGTGAAACAAGAGATAAAATATTCCAAGATGAGGCCCACAATTATAACTAATATCCAATGCTTAATATTCAAGTGCTGGCCAATGCAATAAAATAAGAAAAATAATGGAGACCAGCCCTGACTGGTATGGCCCAGTGGGTTGGGCATCATTTCACAAACTGAAAGGTCACTGGTTTGATTCCCAGTCAGGGCACATGCCTGGGTTGCAGACCAGGTTTGTAGTTGGGAATGTGCAAGACACAACCGACCCGTGTTTCTCTTTCACATTGATGTTTCTCTCTCTCTTTCTCTTCCTCTCACTCTAAAATCAATAAACATATCCTCAGATAAGGATTTTTTAAAAAATGTCTGCTTTTCAAATTTCCATCAACATAGTATTGGAAGTTCCAGCCAAAGCAATTAGGCATGAAAAACAACTTAACGTTATCTGAATTTGATGGCCAGGGTTGGAACAAGCTGGACAACAGAGATTTTCATAATACTACTCAGACCTGTTTTCATTAAAAAACAAAACAAAACAAAAACTGTGTGTTGGAACTTACAAATTGTTTATTTCTGGAATTTTCCATGTAATGTTTTCAGACTTCTGTTGACTGAAACCTTGGAAAGTGAAACTGTGAATAAGGGGACAACTACTGTATTAGTTTCCTGTCACTGCTATAGCTTAAAACCAATAAAAATATACTCTCTCACCCGTTGGAAGTATGTGGGGGAGGGTTAAAAAATATATTCTCAGCTCTGGCTGGTGTAGCTCAGTGGATGGAGTGCAGGATGTGAACCAAAGCATCGCAGGTTTGATTCCCAGTCAGGGCACATTCCTGTGCCTGTGGCTGGAGGCCATGGCCCCCAGCAACCGCACATTGATGTTTCTCTCTCTCTCTCTATCTTTCTCCCTCCCCTCCCTCTCTAAAAATAAATAAATAAAATCTTTTAAAAAATTTATTCTCTCACAGTTCTGGAGGCCAGAGGTTCTAAATGAAGGGGTCGGCAGGGTCATGCTCCCTCTGAAGGCTCTAGGGGGATCCTTCCTTGCCTCTTTTAGTTTCTGGTGGCCACAGCGTTCTGGTGGCAGCATCACCCCAATCTTTGCCTCCATGTCCACATGGCTTTCTCCCTATGTGTCTATGTCTCTGTGTCTCTCCTCCTCTTCTTATAAGGATGCAGTCATCGTATTCAGGGACCATCCTAGTCTAGTATGACACCTTAATTTAACTAAGCACACCTGCCAAGAACTTATTTCTAAATAAATTCACATTCTGAGGTTCTAAGTGGACATAAATTCTGAGGGGACTCTATGGAACCCAGTACAGGGGCCCTGACTGCCGAGTGAACAGGGGCCCATGGGAGCCTGGCCGGTGTGTGGGCAGAGGCAAGTGCAGCCACCTTTCACGGTCACAGAGACTGCAGGGGCTGGTATGGGGACATCGTGGAGGCTGTCCAGGTACACAGGGCAGCAAGGAGACAGTGCGTGAGGAGAGAGGCAGGAGGGGAGAGAAGCTATGTGTCTGGGAGGGCAGTACAATGTGCCCTGGTGTGGGAGTGGTCACCTCATTACAATGATTTAAATACTCAGGTTTATTCACTCACAGGTTGGGGCAAGAGACACAGAGATACACACTCAGATCTGACTGAGAGATCTGAGGCCAGAAGAGTTTTTCAGAAAACACAGGACATCGAGCCTCAGAGTCCATTTATTTGATGTGTGTGGATGAAGTTTCCAGGCAAGGGTCAGGGATGTGCACTTGCCCCGCCTGTCGGACTGAGCCCACAAGTGATGTGTCTACAACCCAGAGCCAGTGTCGAGCAGCGCCCAGGCCTGTCACTGCTGGACAGGACTTGCTGGGTGACCTCAGGCAACCTCACTGAGCCTCAGGTTCTTCCTCTGCAGAGTGGGTTCACAGTCCTTAACAGATGAGATGGGGAAAGTGTCCAGGCACAGGGGGAAAGCTGAAACATTATTTCTCCTTCCTTCTCCTTTCCAGCTCCCAAGGTCAGAGGCCGTGCAACATTTACCCTTCAAAGGGGGAAAAACAGGAAGGGGGAGGAGGAAAAGCTGGTGTCCAACTCTCAATGCATCTCTGGCTTGATCTGTGGCCTTGGCCAAACTCCTGCCTCTCTCCAGTTCTCAGGTTCTCAGCTTGTGAAATGAGGTACAAGGGGCTGGGCTTGAGAACCTCCAAAATCCTTGCTAAGGCACCTCCCAGAAAGAGCCAGGGTCTTTCTCAGACCCTGATGTTAAAACTGGAGGTTTCCCATGTTGCCCAGAGGGGACTCCAATATCTTTTTTATTGTAGGTATGGAAAAAATCCAGCCTCATTTTTGGGGAACCAGCAGGGGTGCAGCATCTAAGACTAGTGGATGGCTGGAACAGGGGGCTGGATAAAGTGACCTCCCCAAGGTGGGGCTTTGCTTATCCCCACAGGGCGGAGACATGCAGCCCTGATGACTCCCTCCAGCCCACCAGAGCCCGAGGCCCTTGTCCCCTGGCCTGAGATTGGCATACCCTGAGGTTCCATTCCTGGCAGTCAGTCCCAAGCTGGCTCAGAGGTCCGTCTCCCGAAGGTCATGACCACCCTCATGTCCACTGCCAGGGGTCCTGAAGCCAGAACTGGTTCCATTCACCTCCTCCTGCCCCAGGAAGAACAGATGATCCTCATTGGTGGACAGGAAGTCAGGAGGTCTCTTGGTTCTGGGGCGGTCCTCAGCCCCCTGAGGGGAGAAAAGAAAAAAGACTTCTCAGAGACCTTATTGCTGTGTCAGCTCATCTCCCAGAAGAGGACCCCAAGGGCCTAGGAGGATGGCACCCTGGTAGGGTTGTACAATGACCTCTTATCTGGAGCATCAGCCAGTCTCTGCTGCTTCCAAAATCTCCATCCACTTCTCCTCCCCATGAATGTGTCACCTACAGTCTAGCCTCCCTTCTCTCTCTGACTCTCTGCCTGCTCTCTTTCAAGAAAATAAACACTTCCCCACTGCAGCTGGAGGGAGCTTTAAAACATTTCAGCCAAACCCGTTCCCTCCCCAGTACCCACCTTGTCAAGCCTGCTCCAGCTTCAGGGCCTTACACCTGCTGTGCCCTCCACAGAGACTGCCTTTCCTCCCTGGCTCCTCTTCTCACTCTGGGCTCTGTCAATGTCCCCTCTTGCAGGAGGCCACCCCATCCCAGTTTTATTGTCTTCCTAACACTCATCCCCTGCCAAGATCCTACTCATTATTCAGTTTAGCTTTTATCTGCTCCTGCTAGACAGTGGGCTTGGACCCCAGCCCAAAGCAGAGCTGGGTACACAGTAAGTGCTTAATAAATGAGGAAATGAACAAAGGAATCCAAACCAGGGGCAGGCCTGAACCAGACCCCTCAAGGACAGTGTCTCCCAAACTCAAGTCATTCACATAGCAACCACTAGGCTTTGAATGAAGTCAGTCTACCCCATCATGTTTCTTATGTAAGACTATCTCTGCATTGACTCACTTTAAAATTAAGGGACTTTATTTTCAGGAGAGACTTTATATCAATAGCCTAAAGGCAAACCAGTTTCACCTGCCACAGGTTAGAAGTCAGTGTAAAAACAGATACAATGAAAATGAAAATTATGAATTTCTGCTTAGTCTTTGTTACAGGGGATAACAGAAAGTGTTGAAGATACATCAGCTCCCAGCTGAGCCTTCCCCCTGCAGGTGACAAAAGGCTGAGAAAGGCAGTGACTCATCACGTCATTCCCTGGAGTTAGGCCACAGTCAGAGCACCCCAAGCTACTCTGCTGCCCTTCCCCCCACTCTGGGAGACCAGCCCTGAGACTGACCTTCACCAAGTTGTCATCCAGGGTGGCCACTTCCTCCTTGGGAGCTGCTGATGCTGTCTGCCATGTGAGGTCCCACCACAGCAGACCAGGACTCAGGGCACTGTGCTTGGTCGGGCCTGGCATCAGAGAGAATTGGGGTCATTTAGTGAGGGGTGGTGGGAACTGGGAAGGGAAGGGAGTGCTCTTATGAGTTCAATCCCAGATCTGAATGACCCACTGGGGGACCCTGGCAAGCCTCTGCCCCTCTCTGGGCTTCAGTTTTCTCATCTGTGCATCAGTGGATGGCGGGGAGGGTCCAGTGTGTGTGTCTGTTCCCGGCACAGAGACAGACTCAATAAAGGCTTGGGAAATGTAAAATGTAGACCCATAAAATGGAAACAGGTGCTGTTATTACTATTGACAGTAATAACAATTCTCCTTATCTCTTTCCACTTCTTGATGGGGTTCAGAATTCCCTGAGGGGTGTGCAGTGGCCAAGGCCCTGATGAGAAGATGTTTCAGCACCAGGGACAGCACCTCGCGGCCCCACCTCACATTCTCTAGGGAGGACATAGTCTTTGGGGGAAGGGGGAGAGGTTGTCTCAGTTTCTGTCTTTGCAAAATAGGACAAGCCCTGCAAGGTGCAGGGTTGTCCTGAAAGTGACACAGCGTAAAGGGTGCAGCTGTGTCCAGTACACAGTGACTGCTTAGCCACTGGGAGTATCCTTCCTCTTCGTCCTGCCCAGTGGGTACTGGAGGCAGAGGGAAGGACAGGGTGCTTCCCCTGAGGAGGCCATAAGCCCTGCTTACCTGTCAGGTAGCTCACGAGGGCTCCACACAGTACGGTGCTCAGTGTGCCCAGGGCACCATAATAAAGATAGGAAATAGCGTAGAAGCTGTCAGCCAAGGCGGGTCGACCAGGGTCCATTCTGGGGTCCATTTTGGGGGTGGGAGAAGGGAACATGAGGCTAAAAGCCACTCTCAACCCACTCTTTTCTTGTCATCTCTCCTGCCATGGCATAGCTGAGTCCTCCATTGTTGGCCACGCAGATGTGCGCAGTGGGCGATCCTCCCTCTGTCCCGACACCCTGCCCCCAACCCCAGGCACTCTCCACACACGACCAGAGGCAGTCTTCCTGACCTGCAACTCAGATCACCCCCTGCCTCTGCTCATCACCCTCCATGGCTCCCTGTTGTTCTCAGCAGAAAACCAAATTAAATTCTGAGAAGAAAACATAGGTGTGGCCCTGGCTGGAGTGGCTCAGTGGACTGAGCATGGGCTGCAAACCAAAGGGTTGCCAGTTCAATTCCCAGTCAGGGTACATGCCTGGGTTGTGGGCCAGGCCCCCAGTGGGGGCCAGGTGAGAGGCAACCACACAGTGATGTTTCTCTCTCTATCTCTTTCTCCCTCCCTTCCCCCCTCTCCAAAATAAATAAAATCTTAAAAAAAAATAGGTGTGAACCTTTATGACTTTGGATTTGGCAATCATTACTTAGATATAACACCAAAAGTGTAAGCAACCAAAGAAAACATAGAGAAATTGAACTTCAGCAAAATTAAAAATTCTTGTGCTTCAAAGGACACTATGAAGAGCATGAAAAGACAACACACAGAATGGGGACAGGAGGAGCCGTGACTTCGGGTGGGGAGAGGACGATGCAGCGTGCAGGCGACATGCTACTGAGCCATACACTTGAAACCTATATAGTTCATTAACCAATGCCTCCCAATAAATTCAGTTAGAAAACCTAACATTAACACACACACACACAAAGACAACCCACCGAATGGGAGAAAATATTTGCAAATCATACACTCCATAAAAGTCTAGTATCCAGAGTATTTTAAAGACACAAAGATATAAAGAACATGTAAATTACAACTCAACAATAAAAAGACCCAATTTTAAAATGGGTAAAGGATTTAAAATAAGTGTTTCTCCAAAGAAGTTGCACATGTGGACAAAAAGCACGTGAAAAGACATTCAAATCATTTGTCATCAGAGAAACGCAAATCAAAACCAAGCCACAATGAGGTACCATCTCACATCCACAGGATGTCTAGAATGATTTTTAAGGGAAAATGACAAGCGTTGGCGAGGATGTGGAGAAATTGAAACTCCCTCCACGGCTCCTGGGAATGTAAGACGGTGGGCAGCTGTGAGAAGCCATCTGGCGGTTCCTCAGAAAGTTAAACCTAGAATCGCCACACGACCCAGCAATTCCACTCCTAGATGTAGACCAAGAGAAATAAAAACATATGCCCACACCAAAACTTGTACGTAAATGTTTATAGCAGCACTACTCACAACCAGCAAAAACTAGAAACAACTGTCAGGGAAATCCATTCAGTTTCCCTAATGAATGGACAAACAAAATGTGGTCAATCTACACAAGGAAATATAACTGAGCCACAAAGAGGAATAAAAATCAGGCCAAATTCTTCTGGCTGGACCTTATCTCCTGTCCTTTCTGCCCCGGTGTAATCCACCCCAGTCTCACCACCATCAGGGCACTAACTTGAACCTGGCTGGGAACACCCTTCCCTCACCTATTCCCAGGCCCCTCCCCTCCTTCTCATTTGGGAGTCGGTTTAGGGGTCCCTTCCTGACTGCATTCTCCCACGCCAGGCTCACCTGGGGGCCCCACTGGAGGCACTGGCGGCGAGGAGCGGGCCCAGGAGGCCAGAGGCAGAGGCGTTGGCTGAGGGCCCCGCACAGCCGGCAGCTGAGGATGGCAGGACCCCCATGGACTTCGCTGTGGGTGGGTACAGAGTGGTGCCCACGGCCACCCACAGTGACAAGGTCAAGCCAGCCAACAGCCCTGAGAGGACGCCCTGAGGGTGGAGCCGGAATCAGCTGACCCAGGAGTCTGGCCAGCCCTTCCCCCAACCCCAGCCCTTCTGCCTCTGGCCCCCACTCACAGGTGTGTTGCAGGCCGGGAGGAACATGCCCAGAGTGAAGGCTCCGAGGAGGGGGCCGCTGAGGACGCCCATGACAGTGAAGGAGCCCTGGGGAGGGGGCGGTGGTGTGACTGAACTGAGGGCAGAGCCACCCCACTTCTCTGGTCCTCAGTTTACCCTCTGGGAAAGCAAGACCTGAGGAATCCCACTGCAGGCCTGTGTGCCTCACTTTCCCTGAAGGGACACCCAGTTTCTGTCTCTCTCCCTTGGTTGGAGGCAAAGGTGCCCATTCGCTCACCTAACTGATGTGACCCCACAGTCGGGACTCTCCTCCTGCCCCCAGGCTACCCCCTACCTCCCCTCCCCTCCACCAAGGCTGCTGCGGGAAGTATCCAGCCCCTGGTGAGACGGAACCCAGAGTGTATGACCCTCCCCAATCTCAGTGCAAGGCGGAAGATGCCCCACCTATGGGAGATGGAGCGCGGTTGGGGAGGGGGCTCACCTGGAGGACTCCATCCCCGACCAGTGAGGACAGAGCTGCAATGGCCAGACAGGCCGAGCCATATATGAGTGCTGTAGCAACGGGGATGGCACTGTCAGTGAGGAGGGGATTCCTTGGCCCCCCACCCGGATCCCCTCAACTCACAGAGCCCCTTGGAGATGACCATGAGTCTCCGGGGTGCCAGGCTGGGCAGCCTCGGTTTGATGATGTCCTCCACAGTGACCGCAGCCATGGCATTGATGCTGGTGGATGCCGTGCTGGGGGGGCACAAGGCAGGGGGTTTTGTGTGGACAGGCCACATCCAGAGACTGGCCACACCATCTGACCTGCCAGGACCCTGCCTAGCCCAAGGGCGGAGGTGTGGGTGATAAGACTCCCCAAAGAGTGGAGTTGTCCACCCCCACCCCCACTCCACAGACTTGAGACCCCCCTGAGAGTAGGGATACCCACAACCAGGGACATGAATGACACAAGTTCTTGTTATAGAGCAATAACAGGGTTCAGAGAACAGCCCCATGGGACACAGGTCACAGCAGGAGCAGGCCTGTGGCCAGAAGTCATGGCAGATTTGAAACCACCAGAATGTGGGGTTCCTGTGGGCAGGAGTGAGGGTCCACTTGGTCATGGCTAGGCCCCAGGAATTAGAACCTGTTTAAAACATAGCAGGTGCTCAGTAAACACTTGTTTGGGGAAGAAGGACTGAGAGAAGGAAGAAAAGGGGGGAGCTAGATGGGAGGCCAGGTGCTGGGAAGGGGAAGACCGCACAGCAGGGATCCTGTGCCCAGGATGCGCTCTGTGCCAGAGCCCACGAGAGCTGCCTGCTGGGGACCAAGCAGGAACTGAAAATGGTAGACATGTCCAGAGCATTCTATCCTGAAGTGGGGGGGTGGCTGATAGGGACAACAAGGCCCCGAGGGGCTGGGACGTGGCTAGATGAGCAAGCAGGGCCACTCACCTGAGGGTGCCACTGTAGGCACAGGCTAGAAAGAGCCCAGGGACTCCAGGCAGGTCCTCGAAGATGTCCAGCACAAGCAGGGGCATATACTGAGGGGGAGGAGGGTGGATGAGCCTCCAGCACAGGAGCACCCAGAGGCTGGGGCCTATGTTGCCCTCACCCTGCACGTCCCCATTGCCCAGCACAGACTGGGAGTACGGTGGGCAGTTAGTGTGTGCACCTGTGGTTGTCACTGAGCCCCACTATGCACAGAGCCCTGGGGTCCAGTAGGCAGGGTCCCGTGTCATCCCTACTCTACTGATGAGGACAGTGAGGCTGAGAGGTGCAGCCCTGCCTGAGGTTGCAGTCAGGCGGTCAGGACTCTGATCCAGGGGAGGGCAGCAGATGCAACAGCCTTGCAGCCTCTGCCTGCTCTGAGCCCCACGGCTAGAGCTCCAGCTGGGGTGTGACTGGGCATGAGTCCCGGCCCTGGCACTGCCCTTGACTTGCCTGCAGACCTTTGGCAGTTGCCTCCTACCCTTCCAGCCTCAGTTTGCTCATCTATAAAGTGGGCACCATGACAGCCTTAGCCTCATTACATGTTGAAGGATTTGGTGGGAAACTAACTGCTTGTGAAGGGAACAGCACGAGGCTTGGGACATGGGAGCTTGTCATTATTGTTAATATTAACACCATCACTTTGTGCCGGACCACGATCTCATCTCCTCCTTGATACTCATCAGGGAGTCTACAACTCTAGATCTGTATGTGCCCCTCTCCTGCTCACACCCACCATGGCTCCCCATTGCCTCCCAGTCTCATCTTCCCCACTCCTCCCAGGTCCTCCTCTGAACCAAGCTCTCTCCTGCCTCTGGACATTTTTGAGGGCTGCCCTCTCTGCTGGGAAAGCTTTTCTACCTTCATCTCTAGAGATTCATCTATACAGAGTTTCCAAGTAGGGATGGGGGCAGGAGTGGCCCAGGAGCCTGGACCAGACTCACCTGGTCTGGGGCAGAAATGCGCCCTGAGAGGAGGGGGTCGCAGTCCATATAGACCGCGAACATGACGATGCCACAGCCAGCGGCACTGAACACGATCAGGAACAGGCCCAGCTGGTTGATGAGTAGGGCCCTGTGGGGAGGGGTGGCCTCAGGCTGGGATGGGGGGCAGTACATCCTAGAGGTTCCCACTCTGCCCCCCCAAACACTCACAGTTTGGCCTGCTTCTCTGTGCGGCAGGCCACATAGCGCTGCACCTGTGCCTGGTTCACGCCGTACATTGAGAGCCACATCAGTGTGCCGCCCACCACAAGAGTCCAGAATGTGTACCGACTCCGTGGGTCTGGGTCAAAGCTGAATGACGGCAGGGCAAGCCAGTCATATGGGGATGCCACAATGACTTCACACTCCCAAGGGTCCCAAATGGCTGTTCCTCTTAAGGGCCTTAAGGGGACATTTGGGATGGGTTTTGAAGTGTGAGTAGGAGTTTGCCAGATTGAACATTCATTTATTTGTTTACTGAGTCATTTGTGATGTGTTTCAAAACCATTCTTTCTGGGCCCAGCTGGGACCTCAGAAAGCCTTCAGTTCCCAGTTTGGGCTGAGGGGTGGGATGGAGTAGGGCACGGGTGTGGGCCAGATAGAGGGATGGGGGATAGACAGAGAGGGGGAGCCAGGGTATATCTATGGGGAGTTTTGGGAGGGGATCAGGGAGGGCTTCTTGGAGTGGGAGGCATTGGCTGGCTCCTCCCAGGGCAGAGGGATGCCGGTTCCATCATCTTGCAGTATCCCCTCTACACTTTCACTCACTCCAGCACGTTGATCCGGGAGTGGTTCCGGGCCAGCTCCAGCACCTGCCTGGGCCCTCCTGCAAGCGCGGTCCCACGGGCCAGGACAGCCCAGAACCCAGCCAGCATTACCACCACCTGGAACACGTCAGTCCAGATCACAGCCTTCATGCCGCCCTGCAGGATGCGACAAACAGGAAGGGGGCGGGGTCAGACGGGGACCTGTCTGGGCCTGCAGGACAGGATGGAGTGGGGCAAAGAGGGGTGACATGGGAGACCTGGCTGGGGCCAGTCTGGCCTGGCCTCCAGCAATAGCTGGGATCAGTGCCCCTCTCTGCCTCAGTTTCCTTACCAGTAAAATGGAGTTAATAGCAGTACCCTCCTTATAGTGATGTTGGGAGAATTAAATTAGCGAATATAAGGAAATATTTGGAATGGACACATGCAAGTGTTCAGTGAGTGAGTGAGTGAGTGAGCGATGGCTGCTACTACTGCTATGGTTACTGCTACCATTGTTATTAGTTGTTGTTTTTACCCTTCCAGCCTTCATGGTTTCGCCTTCCCATGGCAGCACCTGGATTTTCTTTTGGAGAAGCCTCTTCTCCCCTCGCAGGCTGTTGGGCGAGGCCAACTCCACTCCCAGATCCAGGAACAGCCAGTTAGAATATCCCAGCCTCCCCCCCCCCACTTCTCATCCCACACACCAGACAGGAGCCAGCTGAACAGAGCCCTCCTGCACATTAGTGAGTCCACCGTGAAACAGGAACTCACTTTCTGCCCAAAGGGGTGTGCACATGGAGTTGATGGAACCCCTAGAGATGGGAGAGGTACCCAGAGAATACTGTTGTTGCCCCTGGATCCAGCCAGGCCTGAAGCTACATTATCCCTGGACTCTAACCAATAAGCCTTTCAAATACTCTTTCATTATAAAAATGAGGAAATAGGACCAGCTAGGACTGGGCTTTCTGGGGAGGAAGGAAAGGTAGGGTGTGGACAGCCAAGGGTCTCCCCAACCCAGCAGGCATGGAGCCCCCATGTGGGGTGGCGGGATGGGGGGCAGCTCACCACAGTGGTGTAGAAGGTGCAGATGGCTCCAGTGGACAGGAGCGATGCCCAGATGTCCAGCCCAGTCACTGTGCAAGGAGATTCCCCACATTAGCCACCGAGTGGGTGCAAACTTAGCCTCATGTCTCAGGCTCTCCTCTCTCCAGGAGTCTTCCCTCCCAAGTGTCTCCTGGGACAGGCCCTGCTCTCTCCTCTGGTGCAGCCTGTAAGCCTTTGCCCCCTCCCAGACACCCTCTGCTGGTCTCCCAGAGTCAAACCTTGGTTCAGGATGAGTGCAGGGGCATAGATCACGATGCCAGTGTATAGCACCTGCAGGTGGGAAGGAGAGGTAGGGTAGTGGTGCTGCTGACCAGGTGAGGAGGTAATCCGGGGATGGGGGAAAGAGGGTGTTAGCCTAGGAGAGCAGGTGGGTTAGCAAGGCCATGCAGGTGGGGGCAGGACCCACAGGGCTGGGGTACTGAGGGGTGGGGAGGGTTGTGGGCTGGGCAGATGAAGGCAGGATCCTGAGGGAGTGGGCAGGGCCCAGGCCACTCACTGTGGCCACCAGGTACTGCAGGGCCCCAAAGAACCGCACAGCTCGGCTGAAGCGCAGCTCCAGGTACTGCAAGGAGGAGCCAAAACTCATGGTCACCTGGACAGATCCTGCCCAGTGGCTTGAGGCCTCTGAGTTCCTTCACCCTCCCCCTTGGCTTCTGCTGTCCCTCCAGAGGCCATCTTTGTTTTCTTGCACTCTTGTGTGTGGGAGCCTCTAACTGCACACACTCTGACCTGTCTGCACACACATGCGCACACACACCACCCCCATGCCTGTGCGCAGGGCCTGTGCCCAAGAAGACTGAGCCGTCAACTGTGTACACGGTCCCCTCGTACTCGTGTCTGATCTGTTGGTAATCAACTGCTCGTAGTTGGGATTTTAATCACTTTATCTGCACACTGAAGGAAGGTCCTGTAATTAGCAGGGTTGGACATTTGGGAACGGTAGCAGAGGCCTGCCCCTTGCGGAAGACAGGAGAAGGAGGGGAAGTGGAGACTGGAATCTCAAGCCCGCAGCCCCCGGGGCAGGTGTGTGCCTGTCCACTCCTGAGTGCAGACTTGGCCCCTCCCCCTGAGGGCTTTCACAAGAAGAGAACCAGGATACCTGCTCCTCTTCCTCCTTCCTGACCCTCGGCCCACGGCCTGGGACTTTTTCCCAGAACCCTGCTCACCTATATGCCTTGGGGGGAGGGGCACAAGAGTACCAAGGGGCCTGTGTCCTACACAGCAGTTCAAAGCCCCGCCACCACGTCCCTGCAGCCCTGCGTTCCTAGCCAGGCAAGTCCGGCTTCCTGCCTCTGTCTGGTACCTGGTAGGTGCTGGTGAGGTCCAGGCGGTAGAAGACTGGCAGGTAGAAGGCGGCGGTCAGTAGGGAGTTGAGCAACTGGCCCATGCACATCCAGAGGAACTTGAGGCCGTAGCGGTAGGCCTCAGCGGGTACCCCCAGCACCTGTATGGCCGACATGAAGCTGGCAGCCAGCGAGAGGCCAACGGGCAGGGCGGCCAGGCGCCGACCCCCTGTGAAAAAGTCTTCAGCGCTGCGCTGCCGGCTCCGCACCACTCCCACCCACAGCCCGATGCCCGTGGACACGAGGAGCATGAGCGCGAAGACCCCATAGTCCCAGGCTCCAAACGTGGCCCGCGCCCCAGACCCGACGGCGGCCATGAGGTCCGGGTGCCAGAGCCTAGAGGGACCCTCCCACGCCGCGAGCCCGGGCCCGGGAGGGTGGCGGCCTCGGAGGCAAGGACTTTGCGAAGGTGGCGGGATGCTCAGCCTCCGCAGCGAGGCGCACGCCTGTTCCCTTCTGTTCCCGGCGGCCCTCGCTGCGGCTGTCTGCCCGCGTCTCTCCTCTCGGTCTATGAAATTGTCTCCACTGTCTGTCTGTCTGTCTGTCCGCGTCTGCCTCGCTTCCCGCTCCGTCCAGCTGCCCCGAGAAGCTGTGCGTCCAACCCAGGCTCTGTCCTTCTCCCTGAGAGCTGTGCTCAGAGCCGCTCAGCGCAGCTCAGCACCAACAGTGGGAGGTCTCGATGCAGCTGTGAGGGGCGACCCACGGTGGTGGTGGTAGTGGCAACGGCGGGCGGGCGGGCGGGCGGGCGGCGAATTTATCGGTCTCACACCGGGATCAGCAAAACTCCGCCCCCAAACCTGCCCGCACCCTTTCATTCCTGGACAGCGCCCAGCCTTTGAGCAGCTAGCTGCTGGGGGTGGAGACCTAAGGCTCCCAGTGGCGCTCTTCCCTGCCTACGGGATGTTCAAGTCTCCCGTTGACTGATAGGGAAACGGGCTCAGAAGCCGCATGTCACTCACCCCAGGCCACACAGCTGGGAGCAGTGGCTTCAGCATTTAACCCCACTGTGCTGTAGAACCTTTAAGCTATGGGAAGCTTACTCTCCCACAGGACTGGGTTCACTTTCTCGGCTGCGGGGCCCTCTAAGGAAAACTCTCCCCACTTGAGCCCCTTCTCCAACTGACCCCTCTTTCTCTAGAGCCTAGCGGGAGCGTATCACCAAACTCTACCTTCCAGCTAAGCCAATTGGAAGACATCGGGGTTCAAGTCCTAAGCGTGTATGCACTGGAGGAAGTCCGCTTCTTTCCGGGCCTCAGTTTCCCTATCTGTCAGTAGGGATAAAAGAGCCCCTGCCTCGGAGGAATAAATTGAACTCGCATAACAGAAACCTGGCACAGACTAAGCACTTTTCATTCGTCTCTTCATTTATTCCTTGGTTCCTTACAGAGCATCTGCCCTGAGCCCGGCATACTGAACAACAAAGGTCATGGGAGGGTTTCTCAGTGGCCATGAACTCAAATAAATGAGCACCTGACACGTGCCTATTACACAAATGAGGAGGCTGAGAAACCGGGAGGGGAAGTCCCTTCCTTGTCTGGGGTCGTGCCATCAAGGAACACAGACACCGTCATCTTGGGGTCCTTTGCTGAGGGACCTGGAGGGACTTTGGCCTCTGGAGGCTCTAACCTCTGGTTCGAGTTCTGGTTCGCGCTCAGGAAACTGGATGCCCTTCTCCTTAAGCGGCGGGATCTAAGAATCAGCAGATGGAATGCTGAGGTGCAGCCATCTCCCCATCCTCTGTCTCCCCCTGGCGGCCGCCTCTTGCCTACAGAAGCTGCCCCAGCTGAGTCCAGTGTCACCAAGGCCCCACCCCACCACCACACACCCCACCCTCCACAGGTGTCCTCCTGGACTCTCTTCTCTCTATATATGTGATGTGCAGGGCAGGCCTGCCCCTTCCTAGAGCTGGGACACTGTGACTGTCACATGGGCATTTGCTGCCAGCTGGCTTGCACCCTCTGCTCACAGTTTTTCTTTCATTTCCATTATTTTTCCAGCCCCAGTCCAAGACATCCTCCTGGGAAACCTGGGAGCCCTAGTCAGGTAGCTCAGTTGGTTAGAGCCAGGCTTCTGGGTTCAATCCCCAGTCAGGGCATGTACAGGAAGCAATCAGTGAATGCATAGATGGGTGGAACAAATTGATGTTTCTCTCTCTCTCTCTCTCTCTCATCTTAATAAAAATGAAACTGAATGAGGGATTAAAGTTAAGCAACAAAAAATAAAAGCTGCTCGGAAAGGGGAAATCTGGGCATAGATTCTTTCCTTTATGCATAGCCCCGAAAGCAAATGAAAACATATGCAAATCAATGCCAGGTCACACACACTGACAAGGGCTGAGGCCTGTGCACTGAGCACTGAGCACCTACTGTGAGTAGGGCCCTGCCCCAGGCACTGGGGACCCAAGTAGACCCATTTGGCACACAGGGTCAGGTCACTGACCCAGCCAGCAGATGAATACCCTTCTCAGAAGCTGATGGATGACAGCGCTGGTCTGGGGGCAACCCTATGTGGAGCCTCGGGGTGGGGAATTCTGGAGTGGTGAGTGGAGACTTACAAAAGAGAGTGAGCCAGACTGGGGAAGGTCCCTGAGGTGAGAAGGAGCTGGACAGGAAGGGCCACCGGGAACCTTGAGCCTTGGTGAGGTGTATGAGCTTGGGGAAACACTGAAGAGTTTGCAGCACAGGAGGGATCAAATGAGTGGGTCCTAGTGGGGTGGGCCTGACTCAGGAGCCAAGTGGAGAGTGGGCCAAGGAGGAAAGGCTATCTCTCCCCGAGGGCTCCCAGCCTTCATCCATGTGTGACACCTGGCACCTGGACATACCCAGGAATGGGCCCTGGGACGCCTCAGCACCCGTGGCAGTAGAAAGGTCCAGAGTTCCTGTTCTGTAATCTCTGTGCAGACCAGAGTGGTGTCAGCATTCCAAGTGCTACCCCGCTTCATGAGCCCCCACATGGAAGGCCCATCTCCTCCTAATTCCAGCCTTTTCTCTCTGGGTGGTCCTGGCACAATGCCCTCTGAAGACTGAGGACTCGGTCCAGTGGCCCTCACCTCCAGCCAGCGTCCCAACAGCCGCTCTGCGCAGAGCTTTGTGGGGAACTGCAGGTGGGCGGTCATGTGGTAGAGGAGCCTGTGGGCAAACTAGTACGAGGATGAGCAGATGGGAAGAGTGGATGAAGTTGGGGAGCTGGGCTTAGTATTCTCAGCTCAAGGCCCTCAATAATGGGTTCGACCCCAGCCCTTGGCTGGTCCGGGGAGAGCCCTCCCAACTGATTCCCAGGCTGTAATGTGGATGAGACCTCAATGGAGCCCCAAGGTGGGGATGGGGTGCCCCTTGGGCCTTTGTGGGGACCTGGACTTCACATTCCTGGTGGTACATCCTGGACTCTCAACCTCCGGCTTATCTCAAGCCTCCCAAGAACTAAGGGATCACTGTTCACACTTTACATAGAAACTAGGACTTAGAGTAGGCAGTGACACCCACCCCCATCCCCAGCCACCAGGGCCCACCTGAGGAGTGATGTAGCAGCTAGTTAGGAACCCAAGCTCTTTTTCCACCTGTTGCTCGTGTGTGGCCCTTCAGGGCCAAGGATGATCTCTACACATGGGTCATTGTGGCTATATTCCAACTGGATGGATACTTCCTGGAAATGACACACGTCCCAACTATTACATGGCCACCCCTAACTACAAGGCACGCTGGAGAACTTCTGGGTGGCATCCTATGGAGATCCTATTAGTCAAGGAGAGGAATATTTGGGGAAACTAGGGCTTTCCACCAGAAACATGATTAATGAAATCCACAAGGCAAATATTTGCAACATATATGGGGAAATTTCTCCCTACAGGATTTATAAAACCCTACACGATTTACAAACCAATAACCAGCAGCCCAGCAATGAGCGAAGGTCATACAAATTGTTTTAATGGGGGGAGGGGGAGAATATCTACTTCACAAAAACAAAAGTGAATCCTAATGTGATTTTTTTCCCCCAGCCATCAAGTTAGCTAAGCCCAAGGCTGGAGAAAACCAGGACCCCTTCTTACTGCTGTTGGGAACAGTGCCCTGGACATAGATCCATCTATGGAGGGTAGTTCGGCAGCACCAAAACCAAACACCTGGCCCAGCTATTTCGCATTCCAACCCTGTATTGTGCAGACACAGGTGGAAGGATATTGACTGGCCACCACTGCCCTTTTCTGGGTCCCACAGGCTTGCAGAAACTGCTGGGGACAGTGACAGAGGTGGTTTCTGCCCTTAGTCTGGCAGGGAACAGAAAACCAAGTGCCATGACTAGACGTGTGGTTCAGAAAGGTTACTAAGGCCAACCCAGGGATGACCTGCGGAGAGCAGACCTGGCAGAGGGCACAAGTGCAAAGGCCCAGAGGTGAGGAATCAACTGTGTTGAACAGCAGGCAAAGCAGGGGTGAGGGCCCCACTGAGGCCGCTTTCCTGTGAGAAGGGTTGGCTGTGCGCAAGCTAAGCCCTGAGTATTTGGCCCCTCTAAGCACAGGTGGGTTTATGTTACTTTATTTTCTGGAAACCACCAGGGCAATCATGCACATTATCTTACTCCCTGCAGGGCAGTAGTTGTGTCCCTACCTAGAACCCAGGCCTGGTTGCCTTCTCCTGCCCTTCTGTGCTTGGGCTCCCGCCCAGCCTGTGCCTAGTGCTTGCACTCCAAGCATGGATGACTGAGTATATTGATAGGTGGCCTGGACACCAATGCTCCAAGGGTCCAAAGTGACACACCTCAGCCTCCTGGTTGAGGGTTCAGACAGGGTGGCATTAGCTTCATGCCTGGAACTTCTCACATCTTGAGTGGTATCCTGGAAACAGATGCCCTTAAACACCCCGGGCAGGATGAGGACAGGTTCGCTCAAGGGACCCCCAAGATGAGAAGTAGAACTCAGCACAGCAGGCTTGTGTCCTCCTTGGCCACCACCTCGTGTCTCCTCTGAGGACCTCGGAACCAAGAACGAGGTTCTAGGCCAGAAGAGGGCCCACCCCAATTTTGACTCCCCCAGGGTCTAGCTGCCACATCTTACCACCAGAATGATGGGGAAAAGTGGAGACCCATGTTTAATAAGGCAGGTGGGACAGATTTGAGGTCCAAACCTGTGGCCTATGATGTATCTCAAAGCTCAAGAAGGGCTCGATAAGGCTGAAAACTCTTCCCTCTTGCACTGGGACTCCACCCATGACAGCTTCTCACCAAAGCCCCAGGAAACTGAGTGGGCAGAACAGAGAGCTTGGGGGTGAGACCCTCACCATTTCTGGGACGCTCCTTCAGATTTCACTGTGTGAGCCCTACTTGAGGAAGACCCCTCCCAGAGCAGAGAACTCAGTTTAGCTGCGCCCTGTTGAGTTCTTCAGGGTGTGCAAAAAAAACAAGTCAGTCTGAGCACCCCGGTTTTCCCGAGGAGTTTATTTGGGTAGACCAAGGGACAAGGAGGCCCTGCATCTAAAAGAAGGTATTGGGCCTCTTGGTGGTGAAGCGTGGCTTGTGCTGGCGACGAAGGACCCGGTGGGGCAGCGGGAACTTGATCTTGGAGTCCTATGACAAAGAGAGGCAGGTGAGGGAGGGGTAGAAGCCTCTTAACCTTATCCTTCCAAAGGTCTGCTGAGGTGTGGACAACCCCCACCAGGCTCCTGCGTCAAACCCAAAGCTGGGGGGAACCCACGTCAGCCCAGCACGGGCCCCAGTGCACTCACATGGAACTGCTTGACTGCCGGCCGGCGGCACTTGCTGGCTGCGATCTCCTCCACCTTCATGATCTGGATCGAGTGGGCACGGGCACGATGCCGGGCCCCCATGTCTCGGTCTGCAGGGAGCAGACAGAGTGAACATGTAGTAGGGTCTCTGGGTGTTTCCCCAAACTCCCATCAGGTGCCTGTCTGGGGGCCTCATCTGGCCACCAAGAGTGTAGAACCTCCCAATTCACTTTGAGGGGCACAGCCACAGCCCCCAAAGGCGACAAGATCCGCTTGCTGTCAGCACCTCTGTTTAAACTGCTGCTACGACAAACGGCAGTTCTTGGGTTTAGGTGCTTGGGCTGTGGCCCTGGCACATGGCCCATGCTGGGAGTGCCTTGGGCCACTACATGTCTCAACACAGGACAGGGGCTGGATCCAGGTATGGGTGGGAATATCAGAGGTTGACCCCCAAAGGTTCACTTGCTGCCAGGTCCCAGAAAAAGATGTACCTGGGACATCCTCCCCATTCCTGCCCCCTAATCAAACACCTCCCCTGCACCTAACATCACCACCCCTGGGGCAGCCTCCAAACACTCCCAAAAACTTCTTTAATTTGTCCCACCTCAGTCTGAGGAAGTATCAGACTGAGGTGCAGATGTCTGTCAGTGTTGACTCTAAAAAAGAGAGGATCCACCCTGGCTGGTGGTTCAGTGGACTAAGTGCCAGCCTGTGAACCAAAGGGTCGCTGGTTTGATTTCCAGTCAGGGCACATGCCTGGGTTGTGGGCCATGTTTGAGGCAACCACACACTGATGTTTCTCTCCCTTCCCTCAATATAAATTAAAAAGAAAAAAGAAACCTTAAAAAACAAATAAACAAAAGGACCCAGTTGTGGGTCACAGTAACTTACAGCACTGGGTGACAGCGCCTGCGGTGGTCAGGTCCCGGTACTCCCGGTACATGTTGTGGGTCCCACTGCGGGAGTCGTAGCGCAGCCAGATACCAAAGTTCTTCACCCGAAGTGGGGATTTTTCGAATACCTGCCAAGGAAAGGACTGGCTGAGGGCAGAGCAGTAAGCAGGTCATCACCTGGCCCCTACCCTCACTGAGCCAACCCTTGCTGCTCCAAGGACAGCCCCTGAACCTCCAGACATCTAAGAGAAGCCTGCCGCCCGGAGATTTCCGCAGCATGAGACAGGGAAAGCAGTCCAGGTTACTTCCCCTGTGGGGACCAGCACAGGTCCTGACTCCTCCCAAACACAATGCTTCAGGGACCAGTTGGCTGAAAACCAGCTGCCACCCAGCGCAGCCTTACAGTGTAGAGTCCAGCACCCATTGTGGCAATGTGCCCAGGTGATAGCACCTCTCCCCCCTTCAACCGAGGCCAAGGGAAGGTGATAGCCTTAGCCAAGGTGTCCCAGCACACCCACTATGCCACCCCCAGGGTCGTGGGCTTTTTCTCATTAAGATCCCTGAGACACACCCATCCCCTCCCACCTAGGACCCTGAACAGGACTAGGGTTCTGAAGGGTAGTAACTCTGTGGGGCCAAGGCTGCCCCATGGAAGGTGTGAACCCACTCCAGACCTCACCCTGTCTTGGACACCCCATACCTGCCCACAGTAGACGATTTCCCCTGAAGATTTCTTCATCTTCTTCAGCTGAGACACAAAGTACCAGAAGCGGGACTTGGCAACAACATGATTAGGTGCAAAGATGCGCATGCGGTAGAGGGGTGGTGTGTGGCACTTGGGGGTGGGCAGGCAGCGCCCCACCACCTTGTACTCTCGCAGCTGAAAACAGAATCAGGGGTGAGGTGGGATGGGCACCCAGGCAATGCAGAGAAGTCTCACTCTCTTTCCCAAGCTTGGGGATGACCACCAGGGGACACAGGAGGAAAGAGTCCCATCCCCCAGCTTCCAGGTAGACTGTGGGTCATGCCACACTCCAACCTTCCCCATAAAAGTAAATGCTGCATGCCCTTTGCCCTGGCTTTGAAAAGCTGAGCAGGACTATCAACCTTACTGTCCCACCCTTTCTCATTACATTTGTGGGAAAAGTGGAGACCTAGACCTGTAGTCTCAGGCTCAGAACAGCTAGGCAACCTCCTTCCTCCACAGCATATCTGCAGGTCACAACATCTTGCCAAAGTTCTCTTTCACTGTGAGGCTGAGACAGTGAACAGCCTGGGATCTCACAGACCACTCTCCAAGCAGTACCTGAACTAGAATGCAGTTCCCTCTCTAGCCCTGGGCTCCCTGCACCGCTGCCACGGAACTTAGAGCTGCCCAAGTTTTCCCAGATGCCCAAGCAGATTTGGACTCCCAAACTTCCCTGTTTACACGGATGCGATGCCTACCAAATGCAAGCCCTGGGATACAGCACAAGACCCACCTACCCAAACGCCTGGCCATCAGTTTACTAAGGCCAATAGCAAACCACCCCAAGTACCACAAACTCGGCTCTTAATCCAACCTATTAGCTTCGCGGGTCACCCGCTCTGAAAGGGACTGACACGGACCCTTTCCCAGCGTAGATACTGAGTTTGGAGGCCTGTACATGATGCCTCCCGCCACGTTTTTCTGCAGGTCCTATTTTCCACTTCTGCATCATAAACCCTTCTGATTTTGCCCGACACTTGCCACAGTGGTAAAGCTCGCACGCTAATCGTCAATTCGAGTTTGTAAACAATTGCTACCTCTCACAGTCATACAAGGAAAAATGGGAACACTACTGCGTCCACCCACGTTCAATGTGCAATTCAGATTCGGAAGCTCGAGGAGCTCCGGTAACGGGAGCCTCCATACCGTGCAACGTGTCCCTTCCCCTGAAAAGGGTACCTGGCCTCCCTTACTCCGTGATTCCCAAGCCAAGCCGGATAAAGAACCGACATCCCCACGCGGGACCCAGAGTGGCCGCCATGTTGGCTGCACCTACGGGAGCTCGCACGAGGCCGCGCGAGGCCCAGCCGGGTGCACTCTCAACACAGCCTGTAACTGCCCTTGGGGCCCCCTATTCGGTCCTCGACAGGTTCCACAACTCCCTCCCCTGCTACGGAGACTTTACCGTGCCCGAGGCCTTCATAACGCCGTCTCCGTGTGCGCCACCACCCACAAAAGGAAGTTCCCTCCCTCGCGCAGCCGCTCACGAGGACTTCGTTTCCGGAAGTCCCGCCCTCTAGTAGCCGCGCATCCATTGGCTCTTCGCCTTGCGCTCAATTAGATCTGTTTCTTCGTTGGTTCCTGATACACCAACCTCTTTACAGTTCCCCCTCCCTTTGCAGCTAGACTACCATCCCCAGAGGTAACGCGGCTAGTTCTTCCTGTTGCGGTTCAGACGTACGGGAGCGTCGGCGTGCGCGGCGAGCGCGTAGTGGTAATAAGCGCAGGGAGAGGACTCTGTTGCCGTTTGGAGCGTTTCTCTTCGAAGAGAAGCTTCTGTGTAAATAGAACAGATCTCGGTGGACGCGGTGTTTATTATACGATTGCAGCATTTTTCTGGGAGATGTGTTACGTAGGTCTCGAGCCACGGACCTGAGCGTTTTCATTTTAAAAGTGGAAGTAATACTATTCCTCCAAGAAATGTGACAGTAATTACATGCGATAACCCACGTAAAAGCCAAGCACAGAGCAATTAACAAGAGCTAACACTAATTAAGCGCTGGAATGCTAGTTGTAATCATTACTATGGGGATCTGGTTTGTGTTTCTTTTAATAAATGGAAGTTTGTACCTTTTAAAAAAATACCTTATTTTTAGAGAGAGGGAAAGGGAGGAAGAAGGAGAAGGAGAGAAACACTAATGTGGGGTTGCCTCTCGCACATTTCCAACTCGACCTTGCCGGCAACCCCGACACGTACCCTGGCTGTGAATCGAACGGACAACCCCTTGGTTCACAGGCTGGCTCTCAGTCCACTGAACCACACCAGCCAAGGCTTGTTTGTGTTTCCTAGTAGCAGAGATTCAAACCCCATCTGCTTGCCTTCAGTACAGCTCCTGGGGCATCATGGGGGTAGAGATGGGGTGGGGGCACTAGAACTGATCTAGGTGCAGATCCCACCTTTGAGGGACTCTGGCAAAAAGAGGCTGTCCTGGAGGGGAGACTCATGATGGAAAAGGAAAGAACTGCAAAGAGCTCACGACTTCAGGCTGAGAAGAGGATAAATTGGAAGGTTGATTTTAGGGAGGGGAGGAGGTTTTTGGAGGAGCTTACTACTGAGCCCAGTTAGTCTTTCTTTTTAAAAAAATTAATTAATAGCTTCATTGACATACAGTTCACATATCATACAGTTCAGCCATTTAAATTGTACAATTCAATGGTTTTCACTATGGTTTTTTCCACAGACATATTCGTATATTCAGTATTAATATGTGCACAGTTGTGTAATCATCATCACAAAATTTAGAACATTTCCAGCATTCCCAAAAGAAACCCTCACCCTTAGCAGTCATTCTCCATTCCCTCCCCTTCCCAGCCCTAGGCAACTAGAAATCTACTTTCTACCTTTGTGGACATGCCTATTCCAGACATTTTACATTATTGGAGTCTGACAAAATGAGGTCTTTTGTGGTTGACTTCTTTCACTCAACGTTTTCAAGGTTCATTCCCATTATGTCATGGCTCAGTACTTAATTTCTCATTACTGCTGAATAATATTCCATTGTAGGGCTATACAATATCTTGTTTATCCATTCATCAGTTGATGGACATTTGTATGGTTTCCATTTTTTGGCTATTGCAAATGATGAGATATTGACATTTGCATGCAAATCTTTGGCTCAATGTATGTTTTCATTTCCCTTGGGTGTGTAGCTAGGATTGGAATTGCTGCGTCGTGTGGCACTTCTATGTTTAACCTTTTGAGGAACTGCCAGACCATTTGCCAAAATGTCTGCCTCATTTTACGTGCCCTTCAGCAGTCTATGGAGGGTTCCAACTTCTCCATGTCCTCATCACCATTTTTTATTGTTTGTCTTTTTTTTATTATAACCACCCTAGTGGGTGGGAATTGGTATCTTCTTGTGATTTGATTTGCTTTTCCTTGATGACTGATAGTGTTGGGCACCTTTTCATGTGCTTGTTGGCCATCTGTATATCTTTTTAAAAATTATTTCTCTCTTTTTCTCTCTTCCCCTCTCTCTAAAAATAAAAAAACCCTAAAATTTTTCTTAATTTATTTATTTGAGAGATAGAGAAAGAAACATCAACTTGTTGTTCCACTTATTTATTGATTCGTTGGTTGACTATTGTATGTGTCCTGACCAGGGATCAAACATGCAACTTTGGCATATCCGGACGACACTCTAACCAACTGAGCTTCCCAGCCAGGGCCCTATAGATCTTTGGGAGAATGTCTATTC